AAAAATTTTTGGAAAGACTAATTTTTCCCCTACCTCCTTTTCTAGAAATAAGAAATAATTTTTCATCTCCTTCCTTTTTCATTTGTCTCCTTAATTTTTTCTGCAAAGAAGTTTTATTTAAACAAGTGTTTAAATGCATTACATAACATTAAAAGGGAAGGAGGGGGAGGAAACCAGTTGTTAGTTCACATGGCATTGGGCAGCTGTTGCTAGTAAGTTGCAAGAGCTACAGCTGGCTACATCAGTTTGAGATTTGTTCCCTTGTCAAAAGTTTAACTCTGATAGAAGATTGGCCTCACATGCTGGTGATGATCTTTGGACACCCCTTAACTAGGGTATATATAGAGAACAAGTCCTTGGTGGCAAAGGTCCAAGAGAACAAGTCCTTGGTGGCAAAGCCAGATGCCCTGTCAGGAGGGAAGGGTGTGATCTTCTAAGGTCTGTCCCCCAGGGAATCTTTCTCTTGCTATCAAAGCATCCCTCTAGATAGCGGCACCGCTGCTTTACCCCTTCCTCTCCACTGGGGACTGTCCAGGCGGTGGATGCCCTTTTCTTAGGGCAGGGGAGCTTCTGGACAGACATAACCATCTGAGAACCTGGGCTCCAAGCTTGGCTGAAACATAGTGCTATGTTTTGTTTCAGACTGGGCACTGCCAGGTGCCTACTGCTTGACCTGTATCTCAATGAGGGACTTCAAGACTAGACAGTATGGCTCTTTTCAGTGTATTGCATGAAGGAGTTACACTAGTCTAAGTTAAAAGGGGACCCGAAATGGTTACATCATACAAGCTGTGAGGTTTTAAACTTGTGACAAAGGACAGAGGGAATTTTACTACTCATTGCAAGGAAATCCTCACTTAAGCTTCCGTGAGCCACAAGCACTTAAAACCCATGAATTTCAGTTGGGCATCCCTAGCTAGGCCAATCAATCTCTACAAGGAACTGGCCTATGTTCCTGTGCTGGCACCCTGTAGCTGAATCACTGCTCCATAATCTGGTTGCTCAATCACAGTACCATTGCAGGCAAATTTCTTCTTAAACACTGTGTTAGTCGGGGTTGACTAGAGAAATAAATTTATAGACACTCATGTGTATAAGAAAGAGCTTTATATAAGAGACCAATTGTATATTGAGAAAACATCCCAGCCCA